GGGCAAAAGATTAGTATGCTTAGATTTGCAGATGATATAGCAGTATTAGCATCTAGCAAGGAGGACCTAGAGATAGCTTTAAATAAAATGGAAGCGGTACTGACAGATCAGTACTGTATGAAAATAAATAAAAATAAAACTAAAATACTGATATGCAAAGGAAGAAAAAGTAGGGAAAGGGCGAATATAAAGATAGGACACGAAAAATTAGAAGTGGCTGATTTTAGATACCTAGAAAGTCAGATAAGTCAGGATGGAAGGAGTAGTAGGGATATAAAGCAGAGGATAGCACAGGGTCGTGTCGCCTTTAATAAAAAGAAATCACTTCTATGCTCGTGAACGGTTAATCTAGAAATTCGAAAAAGGTTGTTAAAGGTGTACGTTTGGAGCACGGCATTGTACGGGTGCGAAACATGGACAGTGGGCGCGGCGGAAAAGAAAAGGTTAGAAGCTTTCGGAATGTGGTGTTATAGGCGGATGATAAGGATATCGTGGGTAGAAAAGGTTAGAAATGGCGAGGTATTGGAAAGAATAGGAGAACAGAGGACTCTATGGAAGTCAATAAAAAATAGGCGAGATAGGTTGGTAGGACACCTTCTTAGGCATGAAGGTCGAGTCAGGAGTTAGGAGGGGTAGAGGTAGACCTAGATTAGATTACTGTTCGCAAATAGTTAAGGATGTGGGCTGTTCTAGTTTTAGGGAAATGCGAAGTTTAGCTCAGGATAGGAAACAGTGGAGGTACGTGTCCAACCAGTCTTAGGAGTGACGACCTTATGATGATGATCTTGTCATGGTCTAAAGTCTAAAGGTCTCCTACCAACCTATCTCGCCTATTTCTTATTGATTTCCGTAGAGAAGTAGGCTAAGGCTAAAGTATATCGAAACACGTTCCAATATTTTCTTTTGTTTCAGAAAAATTTGTAGAAACATCAAGTTCATCGGTTGCATCCACGCCAGAGCCAGTCACGTTGGACTGTGCAATGGTTTCTCATCCCGTTGACTTGGATAGCGGCCGCGATTCTCCGGTAGACGTGTCCTCGACGTCCGAATCTTCGGTCACCTGTCATACGACCAGTCGGTCGTCACCGCCTCACAACCGTAATCCTCTTCTGCAGGAACGATGGAACTGCGAGGAGCTTAGAAATGTAACCTGTCATCTAGAAACCAAAGAACTGTGGGATAAGTTTAACGACTTAGGGACGGAAATGATTATCACCAAGACTGGGAGGTAAGGCTCATTAAATCTTTATTCAACGCTGTAACGCCATATATACGCGGATCATGTTTCTCAGAAACAATGATTGATGGATATCATCAATTACGATTAAAATGTTACTGATAATCCGGTATTACTCACTACGAGATTTCGATTACGGAAATAGCGATTGCCGTCTTAGATCGTAGAAGCAGGTGTCAGTAATAAAACTGAAGCTACTCTTTGTATTATTGCTAAGTGTCGTTTATTATGTAAATTAACTGTAGAAAAAACTAATAGGTAATAACTACGATACAATTGCGAAGGCAATTTAGTAACAATCACAACACACTCCCACTTGCTAGCAATTGGAAAGATACGATAATGTTGAACGCAAGACAGTTTTTAAGACAACAACAAAAAAAAAGGTAGAAGTCTAATTAAAAAAGTAAAACTATAATTGGAACAGTGACACCATTTGTTGACCTTGTTATGGTAAAGGGTTATATGATGAATGGTGGGTTACGAGGTAATCTTGTAATAATAATAAGAATTATGGGTTACCCTTAACGTTAGAAGAAAAAATTGGATCTTTGTGAGAATTGTTATTACTAATTTCCCTGACGATTGGGTATGGTTTGAACAATTTTGCGATTAAACTGTCAGTTTAGCTGCAGTGAGCAATATAGGCGCGATTTTTTCCATAACCCCATATTTTAGAATTCTGAATAACATTCTTCTATAACCTTTTTCGATTGAACCCCAAAACTTTATTTTTTCTATATTCGAACACTCTATATAGTAAATCAAATTTAGATGCTACAGGCTTTCTTGAATTGATATAGTAAACAAGTGCAGTTGGAAAAATGTTTCGGTTAAACTTACAGTCTGATCGTGATGAGCATATTGCATACTTTTTGGGCCACCCTGTAGATAGGTATAAAAACTCCCTAAAATTTTCAGGTGAATATTTGTCTACCTTTTTAACAATATATACTAATGTTTCTCTCAGTTTTATGAGTTTTATCATTATCTTGATATAAAGTCGAATTCAACATCCTTTCGATTAACAAAATTAAAATTCAAGAAATAGAAAAGAAAACTTTAATTCATAAATTTAGTTAAAAGTTTTAAAACAAGAGCAAAAAACTCTTTTGTGGCAAGTACTTAACTGATAAATTTGTACAATTTTGAAACGGGTACATCCAAGCTCATTTGCCGTCATTTCCTATACATATAAGTGAATATTTAAAGGAAGCTATCTATGGATATCTTGTCTTCGAAAAATTCTTTAAATGTTTCATAAACTAAACTAAACATAGTCTGAGCCGGCTTCAATTTATTTTGCGTTTTTATGTAATAATTATTTAAAATTGTTGAGTATCGGAACGCCTATTACTTTTTAATTTAAAACGTGGAATTTGTTAGCGTTTTCATTTTAATTTGAATTTAATAGATAGGTTATTTTTTTGAAATTGATATTAATGCTCTAAAATTAAAATCCTTCATTTTTCCGAATTCCTAAACATCCTGCAGGCTTTTATACTTAATCCTTGTCGTATTAAAACGTCCATATTGAAATGATTGCAGTGAAACGCATTACATCCCATCTGTTTGAGCATACATGTTTACGTCAAATTAAGTTACGAGAAGCAGAATGATTGGCCAATATAAACAACGAATACAATGGCTTCCAACTTTCTCATAAACATCAAAACAGTGGCAGTGTTTACGATTCAAAAGTTAATGTGAGCGCGCCAACCTATAACAAGAAGTTACTGGTTTGATTCGGGCTACGGCGCTGCACTAAAAGGTCTCTCTGAACCTGATTTATAGACGTCTCGTCTGATGCAGATCGAATGCAAACTCATCGAATTTCTATTTCATTAGAGGCGGAAATTCGCAAACGAGAATGCTAAATTTTAATGTAAAAAAATGTAAAAATTACGTATTATCGATAGCTAGATACTTCTGATAAGTAAACATCAAATTATTACCCTGATATAAATTTGAGCTTTACTATATTTTAGACTTATAGGAATATAACATACTGGCATACCAGGGAAGAATATAAAGATAGGAGATGAACATTTAGAAGATGTGACTGATTTTATCTCAGGAAGTTAGAACGGAAGGAGTAGTAGGGATATAAAGCAGAAGATAGCGCAGGGTCGAGTCGTCTTCAACAAAAAGAAATCACTTCTATGCAAGCGAACGGTCACTTTAGAAATTCGAAAAAGGTTGTTAAAGGTGTAGGTATGTTTGGAGCACGGCGCTGTACGGGTGCGAAAAATGGCCAGTGGGCGCGGCGGAAAAGAAAAGGTTAGAAGCGTTCGAAATGTGGTTTTACAGGCAAATGATGAGGACAACGTGGGTAGAAAAGGTTAAAAATGAAGGTGTATTAGAAAGAATAGGAGAACAGAGGATTCTATGGAAGTCAATGAGAATCAGGCAAGATAGGTTAGTAGGACATCTTCTCAGGCATGAAGGTCTAGTCAGAGACATATTAGAGGCAGAAACGGGAGTTAAGAGGGGTAGAGGTAGACCTAGATTAGATTAATGTTCGCAAATAGTTAGGGATGTGGATTGTTCTAGCTTTAGGAAAATGGGAAGATTAGCTCACGATAAGAAAGAGTGGAGGTGCGTATCCAACCAGACTTAGGACTGACGACCTTATGATGATGATGAGGAATATAATTAGTTTTAAGAAGCATTAAAGGCAAGCGTCTTAAATGCAAATGTAATCCAAAGGGTACAGTTTTTTGTATTTCTTAATTGCCGGCGATTTTTCATCATCATTAGTATCCTCATCATAGTTATTCCGAAGATTGAATGGACACGCAGTCATCACCATTCATTCTTATCCTGAGCCATAACATTCGAAGATCACATATCTCTATTTACAAACACTAATCTCATCTATGTAGGTCTACCTTTGGCCCACTTTACTCCCATTTCCGATGTTTATATATCTCTAAGTAATCATTAACGTCTCAGAAGGTGTTCAACCATCTTGTCTCTGATTTTTCTTAGCGCCTTTCGTAACGCCCTTTATTTTCCTACTGTTTCTAATCCTCGTAATTTTTAACCGTTTCAATCCACGCTATTTTGACCTCCACCTATAACATTACTTTTCACATGCTTCTTATCACATATATTTCTTATACGCCACGTATCGCTTGAGTATAAAATTGCGCTCCAAACAATTTTAATCAATCGGAATTCTAAATTAACCGATCGCGAACAGAAAAGTGACTTTTTTTCTTAAAAAACATTCGACATTCTGCTATTCTTTGTTTTATATAAAAGATGTAAACCGCTTTTTCTATCCTGAGGTTTTCTACGTATCAAAAATCAAAGAGACTTCTAGTTTTTCGTGTCTAAATTTGGACAGACGTAGACTCCTTTAAGTAAATACTAGAAGCGGATTAGTGTCAAGTTCATAAAAATGTTAGAATTATCAATAAGTAGCTGATCGATGTGAGAAAGACGCTCTAGAAGAAGTTCATCTACCTATGCCAAACCGCCGATAGGATATCATATTCCGCATCATTTTTATATATACGGTTTTGTTTTTATTATACTTACACAGGTTTGTTTGACAAGTTAATAGCTAAAGGTTAGATTTAAATATTCTTTCAAATGCCTGTCAGAAAGACGACCCATAGGAACTTATTTTATGGCGTTTCGAAACGTATTAGTCGCTTATGTTCCGCAAAAATTGGAGAAAATAAATTTCGTTGTGCTGATAAAACAATAATTTTGGCAAAACTGCCATGTTGCGGTTTCTAGAAGCTTTTTATGACTGCGTTTAGTAGTTGGGACGCTCCGACACTTAGGTGGCGGTCGTAGAAATGAAAGGTTCTCTGTTAAGGGACCACAATAAGGGTAGTTTCAATTAGTGAATATATCACCAACTGTTTTCTATTATGTATAACCAAATATTCTTAATGCATAATTAGTGTCCTTTGGCAGATAATGGATATGTAAAGAGAAGGGAAGAGAAAAGGAGACGGTTAGGGAAGGACCCCCGGGGGGCTAGCTTATTCCATTAAATCTGACATTATTCCTGGATACATAGCGCTACCCATATGCCTGCTATCCTTCCTCGGGTATATGCCCCAACTACTGAACTCCATCTTTTTCTTTCTTAGAAATCAATTAAAATGGTTCAATTATGAACAACATACATTAAAAGTTCCTGAGGAAGATGTGGTAAGCAACTTTTTTGTAAAAAAGTTTTATTTCAAATAAGATTAGGGTTAGGTTGCGGCAATTTCTTTATCACATTGACGTAACATAACCCAACCTTAACCTTAATGAACCTAACCCAATCAAACGTAAAAACAACATCCCTAAAAAATTTTCATATAAATTCTTCATATAATTGTGCTATCTGAAGCAATTTGCAAGGAAAAGGTTAAGTTTTGAAAATAGTCGTGATATGAAGGATTTAATGTAGATTCTTGAAAGAAACTATTACTAGGGAAATTAAATTAAAGCTACGAAAGCTCTATCGCATGAGATGGTTTAAAAATGATTTACGGAGCTTCGATGTGGTCTTACGTACACGCAAAATATTGAGCGAACTGAACGCCTACCTGAGGTTACTATGAACGATATTCATGGTATTTGCGTGGGTTTAACAAATTTTAACTTCTAAGACGAAAACTATTTATTTACACTAATTGTTATTGAACTTAAAAACACTACCTATTAAATTATTACTAAACTTAGGTAATTATTCTATTTATTTACACCACTGTTTATTCACTATTCACTGCACTATCTATTTCTGCAACGGTCAATTTATATCTGCTCCCTCTCGGCGATCGTCTTTTCTTTTAAATACTCTTTTGTTTCCTTTCGGGAACCTTCTCGAGCCGTCCGGAAAGGTTTCTTTTTCTTTGAACTGTTTAATTGTTTTCTCAGAACGCAGGTATATCACACACATTTACAAATACGGCGCACATGAAAAAAGGCGCCCACGGCTAGTCGGCGAATCGATAAGCCGTTCACACACACGTATGCCC